AAATGCTCAATGCAATAAACAAGTTGTTAGGAAGATTTAACGTGGCTTCTGCAGGCCCCCAGTTTCCAAACAGTAAATGGGGGAACTCCTGTTTACTTTGCATCCAGACTCGGTACATGAGTCATTGTGGTAAAGCCATCGTTTTTGAAGTCCCAGGAGTTCAAACAGAACCGGGTTTCCAAAACATCATTAACACTGAGCCATGGCTACACTGCTTCCTGAGAGCTCCACATAAAAAGGATTTAGAATAGTTCACACAGACTCACTGTTTCTGAGCTTCTGTTAGGAAAGAAAAACACAGACAGGAGTTCTTCACTCATTTCATCAAATCTCTTCCACTGCGGAGGTCACAGGCATATGAAGATGCTCTATTCACGCACAGGGAAGTTACTGCCAGTTGAAAATGAGGAACCTGAGTGTCTACTTGAAGTTATCACCAAACTCGGGCTCCTGACAAAGTCCGCTGTTGCTTCATTCGGTTTTCTCTATACAGCGGAAGGAGAGGAGCCTCACTGAACATAACAAATGCATACACAGACTGAGCAGCGACCACTGTAACACGTCAGGATTATAAAGCCTCGACAGAGAACCTGCTTTCCAAGTCTGGACTTTATGATGAGAAGACCCTCTCATCACTGGCTGACACATAATTATTTTTCATAACTCTCAGTTTTAAAGGAAGATTGCTTCTCTGTGACCTTTCCTGCCCAGATTAATGACAAAGAAATCAGAGCATCAGCACAAAAGAAAGAGTACCGTGACTCATGTGCAAAGTAATTATCCAGCTGTGAGAAGCGCTGGGCTGTCTAGCTGGGTTGAGCAGTAAATTCAAGGTGAACCAGCTGGTATTTTTTTAAACATAACTTTCTAGGGTTGGCAATATTCCACGTAACTGTGATTCTGGTCACCAAAATAACTCTAACAGTTTAAGTCTATCTACAGGGGAAGTAATTTTTGTCTGTTTACTTTCATCTTAATGACCTTTTGGGGCGGGGGGGGGATGTGTTAACTGATACTTTAAAATACAGCCCCATCCCTTCTCGTGAGTCTCTGGTACAGGAGGATGGGTAAACTATATACCAAACTGGTCAGCTCCCTGGGCATTATCACCAATAGTCGAAAACCCTCCGCTGTTTACGGTGTGTTCCCTTTGATCCCTATTCCCGACCTCAATTCCCTTCCCTGTCCCAATGGCAACTATGTAATATGAGTCACATGAGTCATCTGCTCATCTGTCTTTATGAAATGTATAGTGGTCTGGGTGTGTTCCATGTTTCTGTAAATCATGTTGATACATATCCTATTACATGCTCATATTTTCACCCAAACTGTGCTTTTGATATCTAGTCATGTTGCTATATATCTTAATTCTCTTGCCAAGTAACAAATTGCCACAAATTCTGTGGCTTATGCAGTAATTCCAATTTCTTGCCTTCATTTGCTCAGTGAGAGGGTGGTACCTTTTTCCCTAAGATTACATCTGTGAAGTCACCACCCCTGTTTTCCCTTTTAGTTCTGCACAAATTCTACAGCCACAAGGAATCAGATTCCACCAACAACCTGAGGGAGTTCAGAAGTGGACCCTCCTCTAGTCACGCCTCCCGATGGGGACACAGCCCCAGCTGACACCTTGAATGAAGCTGTATGAGGACCCAGCCAAGTCACGCCCAGACTCTCGACCCACAGACAGACACTGCATGTTTTAAGATAACAAGCGGTAACAACCATGTCTTAAGCTGTTCAGCGCGTGGTAGTTTGTTACACCGTGACAGGTAACAGATACAAACAGTGACTTCAGCCTCCTCAAAAGTCAACTCTCTGATCCCAAGACAACCTGGTCTTCACTGCTCCCAGATACTCCGAGCTCTGTGAATTGTGGCACAGAGTTCTCTCGAATTCAACATCAAGCTTACAGCTCCGGCTTCACAAAGTCGAACCGCTTTGATTCAAATCAGTGACCTTGGGCAATTTATTATAATACCCATCCCACATTTATATAGAAGTTTAATGAGATATCACTCA